TCTAGTAGATTCCCATTAGGATTCTTGTTGGAATCTGGGAAAGCAGGCCCTACCCTGCATTTCCCATTTCTCAGGAGACTGCCAGAGCCATCGTGATTTTCTGTTGCTGGGACTGCTGTCACATTCTGCTAGGACCCACAGGAATCCTAAATAAGTAAACACAAATTTCCCTCTGATTTCCATCTAAAAAGCTTTGAACCAGGTCTACTGCTAGGTACTTTGCTCTATGGAGACTCATGTTCCCAGCAGTTTGGAAATGAGAACACTCAGGAGCAGACAGTATTCAAACAAACAGGTAAAGACTGACAGGAGGTGGCAGAAAGCTGAATTTCCCAACATAAGCTCTGGTCTCAGTAGTGTGTGCTTCTGTAAGAGCTGTTTTCTGTTGCACCAAAAAGGCAGCTTTTGACGGCACAGGTCACAGCGAGGTGAGCAGCAACTGGCTGCTCTGTGACTCTGAGCAGATTTCAGGTGCAGCAGGAGTGATGAGCTCAGAACAAGGAGAAACGATCAATTCCCATGCAGAGAACCTTTACCTTAATTCCCAAACTAGTCATGTCCCCCATTTTTTTCTAACAGCATCCAGAGCACCTCAGTTTCACATTTCATTTGCTTTTTGCAAGACAATTATTCTACTTGATTATTATAATTTTGGGCTGATTGTCACAGAAAATTAAGTATGCACTTAACAAAAGTCTGCATTCAGGAACTCAACATTCTTTTCATTTATGGAGCTTCACAACAATCATATGAAGTTGGAAACAAAATATCAGTCCTGTTTACAGAGAAGGAGCTTTAATTGATTACTGTGCTCTGTATCACAACAGTTAGTTTGCAAAATACAAAAAATTTAAATTTAGCTGCTGACATCTATGTTCATGTTAAATTTCCTTTCCAAATATGCACCTTCTCTACACATATATGCAAGGAAATGTTCAGATGCACTCCACAAGAACATACAAAAAAATTCCAATCTCGCTAGCTGAAAATAAACCAGCTTCAGTGTCACACCTACAGAGCAGGACACTCTTACTAGACTGATTCATGGAGAAGGAAAGGATTTTATCCTATTGCCTGCCTTTGATAGCATCCAAGAGGATTTGTACTCCTGTGGAATGAGATGGTGGTGATGGTGATATGGATGGATCCCCTCTCCATTCAGGATCATATGCATTAGAATACAATGAATAACTGCTTTTTATGAGACTGCCTAGTCCTACACTGGCCACCTTTCAAGTAAAACAGATGATATGCATACTATACAATACTATAATGTTTTTATTAGGACATACCCTTTTCAGAGTTGATCTTCATCTCCAAGGCAGCACATACCTTTTATCAATTAAAGTGTGGCACCCCTTTGAGTGTGTAATTATTGGCTTGTTGTACATCAGGTAATGAATCCGATTTTGTGGACAACACTGTGAGTAGGCTGCCAGGGAGCCTGTCCTGGAGGGGATGTGGAAAATGAAAGACACACACCCACACCACCCCAGGAGCAACCTCCTATGGGAGAGAGCACATTTTGATGTGGATCAGATCACTCAGCTTTTGAGTGTGGTGCACACCGAGGGGCTGTGTGCTTATTTTACCCAGTCTACTTCACAGATATTAATTAGAAGGTTTCAAAATGATTAACAGTCCCAATATTTACTGTGAGTACCTGGTCACAACATGACCTGTAGTACTGTGCACCTCTGAAAGGACAGACAAGCAAAGAGAACTTACTCCCTCCCTGTAGTGCACACGCACTACATGTAGTGTAGTACATGTAATTACATGTACACATGTAGTGTGGTTTTGGGCTTATGTGTTACAGCTGAACTCATCTAAGCAGGCTTGTTGCCTTCAAAAGAAGAGATCCTGCTCCCCAGGATAGAGAACTTCTGCTTCAGGCCACTGTCTTCACTTCTTTCCAGATCATGCTCTGGTACTTATCACATAATTAGTTTGTCCAAGTCACTAATCTGCTGCAAAACTATTTCTCTTTTTTTATCGCTGAATTTGTTTTCTGCCAGATTAGTGACCTGAATTGACTCACTGTACAGTAAAATGGAACCAGCTAAGGGGAAAGGGGGGAGCAGGAGCTGGGAGTGCAGAGGTGTGTGTAGGTTGGTGAGAGCAGGATCTCCTCTTTAAGTAGCAGTAAAAGTAATAGCAGATATAATAGCACCTTTATAAACAGCCAAGCAGGGAATTTATTTTTCGATGCAGGATGGTCCTGGAGACATAGTGGGCTGGTGCTGGGGCCAAGATCTGCACTGCAGGGCATTGTGCTCTGCCTCCACATTGTGCTAATTCTCAAAGCTGTTTGTGCTGTCATCGAGTGGTTGGCAGTGTTGTACTGTTCTTGTGAGCTTATTCCCAGACTGTATGTCAATCCAGAATTGATTCAAGGCTGGTTTTAAGCCATCCATACAGCAGTTATTGACAAAAGAAAGCACTATAGCACACATTACATTTATTATTCTGAAACTTTAGGAGGGATGTAAATGGTACATCAGTTCATGCAAGCCTTTGCTGCCTGAAATTTAAGTATTTACTTGCTACTCTTAAGTACTACAATAACACAACTACTTTGCACTTCGGTAAGAAAACATACTGCTAAGAGCAGGCTTTTATCACTCTTTTTATTCATAAGAGAAACTAAATCCTAATTTCCTTCTTCTTTACACTGGCTTCTGTCTCCTAATAACCCATGCCTGCAATGAAGGTTCAAAGAAAAAACAGCTTTTCACAATTACTTAGAAAGGTCAAAGACATCACTTCCAACTTAAATAAAAACCCAATTAAATATACCACTTCTGGCACACAGCAGCTCAAGCAGTAGTCAGTCTCAATATCAAATACTTTAAAATGTTATATATTCTAATAATAGTTTAAAATGGCAGGACACATTCACTGGCAGACTGGAGGAGCCTAAGAGCCTTGCAGCTGAGCCCAAAGGGAAAGCCCTGTTATGCTCCCAGCTTTTCCTAGCACTGAGTAGCTCCTCCTTCACCCAAAGACAGTTCACCTGTGAAACTGATCATAAGTTATTTAGCTATTGCAAGGAATTTTACCATTTACATGAAATAAAACTATTATGACATCTGTTGCACTGTGAGACTAATGAAAGCTTTGAAATTTGAAGAAAACAGAAATACTTGAAAGCACTATTAGTCCATAATTTTTGAAGTTCTAATTAAGTTCCAGGAGAATAAAAAAAAAAAAAAAGAGTAAGAGAGAGGATTGAAGAAAAGAGGGTGGAAAAGATGGGAAGAAAAAGGAAAGAACAATGGAAACAGCAACAGAAGGGAAGCACTACTTGATAGATAGTTTACCAGGCAACTTGCAAGCAGAGATAGCCAAAAATGAAAAGGCATTCATCTGCTATTCCATTTCAGTGAGATGCTAAACTCCTCAAGTTTGGCTCAGAACCCAGCCTGAATTTTGCTGAATCTATAAATTCTGCAGATCAGGGATCTTTGCTTCCCTCCATTTTAACATACCTTGATAACATTAATTATTATGCCTCTGGTACATTTTGTAAACATTTGAAGTAATGAATCTATTACAAAAAACACTGTACTAGTCTCCTACTGGAAGGCAACTCCCACTCTGAGTTCTAGAGAATGCAACTCATAGTTAGGAATTTCGGTAATTTAAACTTCCTCCCACCAGCACATGCAAATGACTGCAAGTAGTGACAAGAGCTGCATTCTGACAGCACTCATATCCCTGAACACGCTCCTGCAGCCGTCAGGAGAGGCAGCAAATCGCCGTGCTGGGGAGCTCACTTACCTCAAAGTTCTCTGCCTTATGAGGCTGCACAGTGAACAGACCCTTTACCTACTGCTTTTACATTTACCAAACACAACAGATTACAAAAAAAAAATCTAGAGGATGAGTATGTGAGAAATTAGGTAAACTAGGTGATAGTGAAGAGAGGTGGTGGAAATGAAGATGTCAGTTTTTATCCCTTCTTCTGTTACTGATATCTGTGGATATTACAAAGGCAATTAGTCAGCTCTGTCTTTTGCAATCTCTAAAACAGTAGGAACTGCTGATGATAAATGTGTTTAGGGATTACATATTTGAGGGTTTCATGGAAATGTGTGAAACATACTTCACAATATACGACTCTCTTAGGCCTCATTTTCCAATGCCTTGTTCCTTGTGCCAGATGTTTGTATCAGTGTCTCATGAATGTGAACTGCATACAAAATAAGAAGTTTCTGTGGGGTTTATGATTCATGTTCATTATCAACCAATAGGGAGTCATAGAGCAATATAAAATCAGGCTAAAGATTGCTTCAACAGGACAGCAAATTTATGGCAGTAATAAAACCTCCCTAGACAAGGTGTTCATATATTTGCCACGCTTACCATTTTTTGCTAATAGGTAATGGCAATCCTTCTTGTTGCAAATAAAACACTTGTCTTCAAATCCACTGAGAACTTGGTGGTCCAGCTTTTTGTCGTCTTTGCCTGAGACTTCCACGGTTTTGACTGCCACTACTAAGTTTCCCTCTGCTTCCTCTTCTTTAGGATGTTGACCTGCAGCTCTTGAGAACTTTATCTTGTGCTTTATTCCTTTCCAATGACTCTTTCTGCTCCCTCCTGGAGTACTCTGCCTGCTTTTGCTTTCCCTCTCCTGCAGCGTGGGGCTGAGAGCTCAGCCCGGTGTTGCTCCGGCCCTACGACCCTCTCCACGCAGAGCAGGTGACAACAGCAGGCGCCCCACGGCAACATTTCACAGACAGCTGCAGTCCTTAACACTATCTATACGGGTACCTCCCTCAATGCTTTCAAGGGCTGCATTCGCCTATTAAGCTTGACGGGCTCCTGCAGGCGCAGCTCCCTACTCGCGCCTTATTCCGCAACCCGAACCCGGCATCTCCCGGCGGCGGCGCTGCCCGGCCAGGGACAGGAGCCCTGACAGGGGCAGAGACAGCGACAGGGACGGAGGCAGGGCCGGGGCAGAGCCGGCCCCCTCCCGCCGCCTCCCCCGCTTCCTCCCGGCCCCGCCTGTTGATGTTTCACTTGCTTTTAATTCCCGGGTCGCAAGATGGAGGCGGTGCTGGGACGTCGGGATCTGTTGTTGCTGCCGCTGTCGCTGCTGCTGCCGCCTCTGGCCGCCGCTCTGCTGGGCCCGGCCGCGCCGCTGGGACAGGTACCGCCGGGGCCAGCCCTGCCCTGCCCTGCCACTGTCCCTGTCCCTCTCCCTCTCCCTGTTCCTGCCCCTGCCCGTGCCCCGCTCCCTCACAGGGGTGAGCCGGACCCTGCCGCGGGCAGACAGGGTTTCCCCTCTCCCTTTGCTGGTTCGTCCCTGTAGGATTCGGTGTGCCCTATGTGACAGGTCTGAGGGGGAAGGTAGTTGTTTGTGTGCAGTGTGGATGTGTTTATGTTGTATTTTCAGGCTTGTCTGCCTGCATCTCCATGGTTCGGTGCTGTAGAAGTATGCGCTGCATTAGGTCCACACTTGAGCCTAGCCTACTTGTGATTCGAACCAAGAAAAGGGTTTTGATGTGTTGGTGTATATCTATAAATACACAGGGCATTGTGTTGTCTGGTTTTCTATTCCAATATCTGTGCTGTATCTTGGTGACATCACTTTTAAATTTGGTGGCTTCTTAAAAGAGTGGAAAGAATATTTTGGGTACTACTTAAGGGAACTTTTCAGTGGGAATAAAAAGATTTGCCACAGCACCAGGTGAGTTCTGACCTCTAGAATTACAGAAGAGCTGGGTACTTCTGCCTGAGCTTGAATCGTGATCAGATACATCGTTTAAAATTGTTATAATTGTGAACCCAAGAGGGATGAGTTGTGAGGGGTTTGTAGTCAACTTGTCTAGCCAATGTGAAGTTACTGTTACCTGACCAAATTTATTATGTGTTTTTTCCCTCCAGAGTTACTTATTTATTAGTGTAATTTGAGTAAAACTTTTCCAAGAAAGCCTGGCAGAGGCCGTGCGCTGGCACATCCTGTGTTGTGAAGCAGGATTCATTCCTGGCCTTACTTCCTGGTTTCTTCTTCTCTTCATGAACTTTTGAGCTCCGTAGCTCTGATTTCAAAATGGGGATCTAGATGTTCAGACACCTGCAAAAGTGCCTGAATTCCTGAAGTGAGGTCTACTAAAGAGAGCAGAGGGAGCTCAATCCTTGGGTACTTTGCTTATCCCTCTGAGAAAGGGAGTGCGGGCTAGAATTTGCCGAAAGCCTCATCAAGTGACAGTGTAACACAGACTTATGCTCTTGTTCACCTTCTACCCAGGAACTATCACACTTCCACACTGAAACTACAGCTTGGTAGCATTAAAGTTCTTTGTCACTGCTGGCAGTTTTAAAGGACACGGAGGCACATTTGTGTCTGCTGTCTTCGGATGGGGAAGTGTGAGCCGGGCACAGGGGTGCCGGGGCAGTGCCACGTAAAGCAGCCTGGGGCCAGAGATAGAGCAGGTGTGTTTCGGGGTGTGAGTAGGGCCTGACTTAGGAACTGTAGTGCCTCATGGGCACAGCTGTGCTGTTAGTGGGGCTGAGTTTGTCCATTTCTGCTCAGGTGGTCTTGTGAGCTCGTGATTTGCTAGTTTGGGAGTGTCTGCACTCTTAGTTTTATATGGGCCTAAGTATATACAGAAAATTTCTTCTAAGAGTCAAAAAGGGGCACACAAATCTTTACTTGAGTGGTTTTTTTCTTTTTAAATGTTAAACTTAGCAAAATAAAAGCCTGTGTTTTCTCCTGCACTATTTAGTTTTGTACATACAGGACCAATTTTGATGGAAAAGGAACAGTGTATCTTGAGAAAGTTTTGAGTAGAAGATTCAATCCTTTTTGACATGGAGCTGTTTTTTTGGTAGCCTGTTAGGAACAGAAGTGCCTAGGCAGTGGGAGTAGGCAGAGTGGGAATGCCATGCTGTCAGGTTGCCTTCAGAAGCTATGAGCTCAGTGACAATGGGCTGTAGGGTCAGAATAACTGTGGTGTTTCCTCAGGATGGCTGGGATCAGGCAGCATCAGTGTGGTCAACTTTGCTTTGGCTGGACACAACTGTGCTTTACAGCTCTGTGAGCCCACTCTACTAAGAGCTTCACGTTTTGTTAACTCTTCCTTGTGGGGTTTAAAGCTGGTGTCAAAGTGTACCTCCGTGCTGATGCCAGTGGTCTTACAGAGTGGAAGGACTGAGGAAAAACCTTGAGACACTGGAATAGCATTTTGTAAGGCTGAAATGCTTTTGTTCAGCTCTTTTGGAATGTGAACGCCTTAACTGTTGTGCAATACTTGTAATTTCTTTAAAAAGCTGTTAACTTTAGACCTGAAAAAAAAATTGTATAGCATGTCTGTTCTGGTTTTTATTTCTCCTCATAAAATTTGGATATACAAAACTGGACTAAAAATTGATTGATTTTAGACAAAATTGGGGGTTTGTTGTTGTTTTGTGTTTTTAAAAAATTTAAAGGGAATGATGCAATAAGACAACTGGCTTTCACATTAAAGTAATGTTTCTGGTGCAAGGTCAGAAATAAGGTTTTGTGCTTTAGAGTATTTTTTAATGCACTGATAGGAACTGGCTGAAAGCAGTGCTAACACCATGTTATTTGCTTATTCTGTTTACCTCTTGATAATTTAGGCTAGCAGAGTTCTTTCTAAATAACATACTTGCCTACCAGATTTTTTTTTCTTTTTAGTTTAGTTCAGTTGCCTGGAAAAAAGAAAGTTTTTATATTATTTGTTGTCTGCAAGAAAGCTCTGTGTAGATGGTTTTCACAAGAGCAGGAAATAATTTTCACTATGTCAATCATTTGGTGCAGTGAGTACAATGTATTTTAATCAAAGAAGAAACTTGTTAATAGCAATGTGCTGGAATGTTTCTTCCATTGCTTTATGCCAGTTTCTTTATTAGCAGCCTGGCACATGTGCATTTTAGGCCTAAAAGAGCTGACATCATCTTCTTATGTATATTTGATTAAAAGAAAGCAGTATGATGCAACTATGTCTCTGTGATGTGAGACTGAGTATTCACCTTTAAAACTCATGATAAAATATCATAGTATGAGTTGGTTTAATAGAGAGGATACAAAGGCAATTAATTCTAGTAACACACATAGGGGAAAGGGAAGGATAAACCATGTTATAATAAGAGTCATTGTAAAACAAGGAAGGAATGAAAGCAAGTGTGCTTATTCAGAAAAGCAAACTAAAGCAAAAGCATCATGTCAGATTATTCAGCTTTAGCTAGTTAAGAAAATACTGGATGTAGTTATCTTACCCTAAATACTGTCATGCAGTTTAATAATGCTAAATCTCAATGGAGAAAATTTTGTACAAAAATTTTCTGAAATGTGAGGGACAAATTATCATCCTGCAAACTTGTAAAATTCTGTCTTGTCATGTCAAGCTTTTACCATGGTTACTTCTCAATTCAGTTATGCCTGATTGCAGTAATACTCTAGAACATAGTTCTGTTTTGATTCTTACGAGAGAATTATGTGAAGCATGGATCATGGAGCCCTGGATTGCAATATGCAATTAACTGTTTAGAGCCAGTTGTCCATGTGAGTGCCAGGACTCAAGTGGTATGAGCTTGTGTGGTAGTTTTGTTTGTCTATTCAGACATTTCTTTTCCCATGATCTCTTCTCAAATTTAGAAACAGTTTATTGGTTTTGTCTATTTTTCACCTGTTTGGCAACCTGACATTTTTCAGTTGCAAACAGGATATCAGCAGTGCCTGTGCAATGGCCGTGAGGGGATTGCCTGCCTCTCAAGTCTCTGTACAGCTGGCCAGCTTGTAAGGCATTGTGCCATCTGTTCCTAGGGCTGCCCACTTGGCTTCCCACAGGCCTTGTAGCAGAAAGAGCCTTGTTTGGAGAGCCTCAATGGAGAACAGCTGTGCTTCAAGTGGGCCGGCTGCTAGCAGAATCTTGATGGGGTTTGTGTGACTGATGCAGCTGTGTAGGACTGAACAGTTATCCTGTACGGGGAGAAACTGTACAGTGCACCCCATCAGGTATTCACTGCCTATGGATAAAGTTTTTCCATGATCTTTAATCAGATAATCAGATCTGTTTGAAGTTCCTCCGTGATTGGACCCATCAGCTTTTTCTTTTGTGACTTTTTTTTTAAAAAAACAATATTAGGTGAAAAGTTCTCTGTAGATTTGTGCAGTGTTAGTCTTTGAGAATTAATGAATATTCCCTTTTAACTTATGCCAGATGCTTTATATTCTTTGCTGACATCTTTTCCCCTTTTTGTTCTTCTGCTGCAGCTGTGATTATACTGCCCCAGTTAGCACTCCTGGATTCTGTTGTAGCACACAGTGAAAGAGAAAAGGAATAGCAAATGATCACTACCTGCTTACCTCTGCTGATCCAAGCTCAAAGAAATTCACTAGTTCACTATAACCTGCGCCATCACACTGTTAGAGCTGCTGCCTATCTGTCCTAGAACAGAATGACTTACATTTCCTGTCCTCTTTGCAGATTCTGTGGCCATTACCACTGTAAATATCACTGCTGGATTACTAAAACAGAGATGAGAAATCATAGAAAAACTCAGGAGAGACATTTATATCCTATAAGAGCATTAAGAATGATAGGGCCATTTTTAGTGCAGATTGGAGTTTTGTGTGAAGGCATTTACCGGCACAGGAGGGGACAAGGGGCTGTGCAGTATGGAACGGGGTCAGTGGTAAGCTGAAAGCACACCCCGATTCTTAGGGACTTGAATTGCTTCTTGGGCTGTCCTTTCATTCTGGCTCTGTCAAAGCACTGTTTTTTCAAATATCCCAGTGAATTCAGAACCTTTGAAATTACAGGCCTGTCTGAAAGTTGCATGATACTGTTGAAACTGAAAAGTGTATTGTAAGTTATACAACCAAGTTTTACACTTATAGTTGAGGCTTCTCCAGAAATTGACAGTGCAACACTATGGACTATTGAAGAGTTCCCATGTTCTGCTCTCAGTGGCTTTGTTACTGCAGGATTGGCTTACTATGCTTTCACAAAACAAGGCATGTGGGGTTACTCACATTTCTTAGTACTGAAGTACATAACCACAAGACATGTCTACAAAGCACTATAAAACACTTCCTTCCCTTCCATGCTAAGGTTGTGAATTTTATTATGGTAACATAAAAAAATTCCTCTGTTGAAATGAAGTTCTGTAAGTGTGTGTCTTCAGCCCTAGGACTGGAAAGATGGGGATTTGAATTATCACTGGAGCACTTTCTAGCAAGTGTGGCTTGTCAGACCAGGCCTTTAATCCTGAAGCACTTATCAACATGCAGATATTGAAGGGGTACCAGTCAGGCCTGTGATAACAGGGGCAGTGCCATGCATCACTTCCTTCCTGCTGTGGGTTAAAGTGGCTTTGCTGGGATGGTGCTCTGCTCTCCTGTGAGCTGCTGCTTCCTTTCCCCAGCACTCCTCCCCAGCTTTCCCTTGCAGTTGGCACGCATCTTGCTGCTTTTGCCATCCTGTAGATTTTGTAATGGGGTATGTGTAGGGTCAGGAAGATTGGCCACAGCAGGACCCATTGAGTTTTGAGTGTGGTACTGCAGGAGGCAGCAGTGGGAAGCCATGGGAAGACAGCAGTGTGAAATCTGCCTTCTAGGAAGGGTTAAGACTGAGCTGGAACACTGCTATTTTCTGTGGGAAGATAAGAAGAGTAATGAACAACCTGTTCATAAATTGCAAAATGAGAGCATATGACAACTGAGTAGAATGGATGTACAGAATATGGGAAGATCTCAGTAGAATTTGTTGGATCTGGATGTGAACAGACTAGTCCCAGGAACAGCAACAGCATGAGTTCTCTGTTGTGTGTGAATTCAAAATTGCAAGGGTCACGATGCAGCTGCTGCAGGGGAATGCTGATCATTGCTCCAACTTACTGAGGAGTGTTATGAATCTGTGCCATTATGGAGATGCATCACCATCACCTGAGATGGTGGTGAGGACAGATGTCTCCCAAGGAGATGCTGCAAGGACAGACAGATCATGCAGCAGAGGCAGTCTGACAATCTCTGTGCATCAGAACAAGGAGCCCAGCTCATTCTTCCCAGCTGTGTTCTTGGATCTCTTGTGCTTGTCCAGCTCTTCCTTGCTTGTTCAACTGACAGAAAAACGGTCTGACAAAAAAGGGAAAGTTTTAGTACCAATTTAAGGAGCTAAATTACCTCACTGACTTGGGATGAGAGAGAAGGATAATGTATGTGCAAGAGAGATCTGCACTCTCTCCTTCAGTGGCAGAGCAGCAAGTGGTTAAACTGTCTTATTTGTCTGCACCTTACGATCTGATTTTTGAACCTTTGACAGCACAGACGTGATCCACTGAAATATTTCATTTCTTAAACATATAACATGTTCTTCAAGTGCAGGTTCTAAGTATGTTCTAGAATTCACAACAGTGCTTGTGGATACTGTGCCAACAGAGCTGACAGCTGTTTTGAAGGAAATTAATCATTGTATGTATAACTAACCTTGTACATTTAACAGTCAATTGTTGAGCATATCTAGCTTCCTTCATGCCCTTCACTTTCAAATAAAGCATTTGATTGAAAAAAAAAAAAAAAGGAGGGGATTTTCCTATTTTTCATCAGTCATTTCCTTTTTCTTGTAATCTCAGTGAGTCTCTTTGTAGATGTTGAAAAATGATTGTGAAATACTTTCTGTGTAAAACAACCTCAGATGTAATTCGTGGCTTAAAAAATGAAGGACTGTTTAGACTTCCTGGAAAATCCATCTTTTGTGCCCTTTGAATTCCCAGAAAACAGAAAAACTTAGGAACGATGTTTTGGTAATCTGTTCAACAGTTTGAGAGTGTAAAAGACAGTTATGAATACTAAGAGCTAAAGGATCTAAAAGTTTGGTGGATTTTTATTTTATTATTAATATACACAGTTCTTAAAATATGAGAAGGAAATTAGTGGTTTGAGGACATTACAGGAAGACAGGATAGAATATATCCTATGTTTATACTGTTAATCCAGTTTATATTTTCAGTTACAGAGTTCACTTGTCTGACTAATCTGGCAATTTTAATTTCTTTTGAATAATTAGAATTTAAGTTTTGAAGAAAAGTCAATATAAAAACCTGTTTCATAGAAGGGGCATTGAGGAAAAGATTTCACTTTGGTCTCGGTGGCCAGAGTTTTCCTACTGATATGCCAAATGGGTCTGAAGTATTTCCAAGTCACTTTGAACCAAAAGGTTATCTGTGCTAGGTTTGAAACCATTCTTCTCATGATGACAAATTCCAGCTGAATCAGACTGGAAGGTTGTTTTTCAGTTTTTGACAGTTCTGGCTACTTGAGTATGCTCATCAACACCCATCGTTTCAATGATTTTTTGACATTCTTGTCACGCTTCAGGGTTTTCTGTTCCTGAACCAGGCTGTACATATTTTCTGGTTGAAAATCTAGTGTTGTGTAAAAATACTAAATGAAAGTCTTTTTGTGTATTTACATTTTTATTTATTTTAAATGCTGAGCATGTTCAACTTTTTATTGAGACACGACTCACTTTTTAACTGTTGGTTGTGCAACAATGACTCAACTACAGAGCTAAGAAGATGCTGAAGGTATGGAGATATTTTCTAGAGGAAAATGGATCTACAGAATCACGGAATCATTTAGGTTGGGAAAGACCTATGATCTTGACTATGATAAGTCCAGCCTTTGACTGACCACCACCCAGCTAACTAGACCACAGCACTAAGTGCCATGTCCAGGTGTTAATGAAATGAAGTTATAATGATTTAAGGCTCCCACAGGCCAAATATGGAGCTTAACATTATTTTTGAAGAGGTATCTGAGGAAGGCAGTGTGGCAATCATTACTTTTAGCTATATGCAAGCAAGATTTGATTTTTGTATGTAGTTTTTTTTTCAGGGACAGAGCTGGGAGACTTAAGGTCTCGTTTGCAAAGCAGCACCTGAAATTACAAGGGAGAAATGAGAGGACAGAATGAATGATTCAATAAATTACAGCAATTAGGGTTTGAAAGAAAGAAGCAAATCCCCATTTTCTGTGAGTTTGAGGTGTCCCGTATGGCATAATTTGGGAATCATAAGCAAAGAAACAGAATTTCTGCTGACAAAAGTGAGTATTCTTTAGTATAGACTAACTTCACTTTGAAGACTAACTGGAGTACTTAAAAAAACATTTACAGAGGATCTGATTTTTACCTTTTGTGGTCTATTATTTTTCAGCTAATATGAGAGACTTCCATTATATCTGTTTGAAACAAGTGATTATTATTATTTTATCTTTATTACAAAAAACCACAAACTATACATAGGAGGATGCAGATGTCATTCTTTCTTGTCAATCCTCTTTACTAAAAAGAGGTGTGGAAAAACCAGGCTAATCCTTACATGGAACAAGAAAGCATATTCCTTTTCCTTCTGTCTGCTGGGTAGAAAGCCTGGGAGTGTGCTCTGGGGTTAGTAAGAAGTCATTCTGCCAGGACAGTACAAGAAAGAAAACACATGAACCACTGCAGGCAGCTCAAACTTACATCTCCTCTGTTTTTTTTCCAGGAAGCAATTAGAGTTGGTGTTATGATGCTGAACACCAGTGGAGAACTTCACAAAGTACAGGTTTGTCCAGTTTTTCTATTTATTCAGTGGATTAATATGCAACAAAACAAAGTCCACAGCAGCTGCAAGTATGTCCTTTATTCTGACATCAGTCAGTATGGAGTGTGTTCCTCTGAGAGCAGAATTGCAGCACAGGGGCAGGAAACAGACACTCATTCTGGCTGTCTTTCTTTCAGGTTCTTTTTAACATCACCTATGTTAATGGACAGGTCTATCTAAATGACTTTCCTATGAAGAGCGGGGTTGCCCATATAACATGCCAAACAGTAATATGTGAGTATTTTCCTTCTTTCTTTTTTTTTTTTTTAATTTTCCTCCCTCCCATGGGGTGTTTGGCTTCCCTGTTGTCTAGTAACCAAAGCTTACAATGACTGCGTGTTCTGTATTTTGTAAACCAGGGCATTGTGGAAGTAAAACATTTCCCAAGGTAGGACAATTTTGGTATTAAAATGGATCAAAAAAATCTTGCTGCCTTCATATCAAGTCACATTAACACATTGTGTGTAAATGGTCTGATCTGAAATCCAGACTCTGCCCATCTTTTCAAAAGCATGTTTTGCAGTACAAGCTAGACAATGTAAACAGAAGGATGCAACTCCACCCTGCTAATGGCTGTGTCCCTAGGTTAGTTGGCATATATCCAGAAGGAGATTCAATAACAAAAGTATGAATTGTTGTTAGGAAGATCTTTTAATGATATCACTTCTGTAACTATTGGACAAACAAGTTTCCGCTGGGTAGGATATTATAGTACAAATATTGCACTTTAATAACTGCAGTAGTTAATGACTTCAAATTGTCTTGAACCTGCTGTTTTTCCACAGATTCAGTGCTACATATTTGTGAAAAAACAGAAAGTACTGTGTGATTTTTTGGAGATCCACAGAGCATACTGTGTAATTAATTAAACAAGGACCATTAGGATTATTTGATTTAAGCTTCTGTTGTATTGAGAACAGTCTTCTGCTGCATGAGATACAGTCAGTTGATATCTGAGGTCATCCTCATCAGGCACTTACAGAATACTAACACTTTTTCAAATTGCTTCTCTGAGCTCCGACCTTGTTGCTTGAACCCTTCTTTTCCAAGCATGATCAATTATTAATTTGTCAGTATTTCTTTTCTGGAGAGAGAGACCAGTAATCACATTCTCTTTTTCTGGTACAAAACCATGGCAATATGTCATTTACTTGCAAAATAACTCACTCCAGAAAAATAGATATGATTTTATTGACTAATTCTGGGAGCTCCTGAGCACTCTTCTGTAGTTCCTATTAATTTTCCAAATCACAGTTGTAGCACTTGCTGTGACTAGTTTTGAATCTGAAACAGTGAGGAAAATACTGATTTGACTTGAGAGCTAGAAACCTGAAGCTCTTTATCTCCATGTTTGGGTCTGAGTCCCCAGCACAGTACCTCTCTCTTAACTGTAATGTAATGTTTATACTATTTACTTGCTAAATTATTGACAACAGATTCAGGTAGTGTTTGTAAAATGCTAAAGAAATATCAAGATACTTTTTAATAGAGGGGGGAAATACTCCTGAGTGTATATAAAAACAAAACTTGACCTTAATAATCATGCTTTTGACTATTGGAGACCGCTCTGACATCATTGTCAGATCATTCTTGGCACCTGCATCCCCACTTGAAGTTCCCCCAGATGTCAGTTTTAGAAGTGTGTGTGTCACTCCTGTGAATGTAGTGGTGGCTGAACAGCCTGACACATGGTAAAAGCTGGGAACACAGGGAGCTTCAGCTGCTTGGCATCTTAGAGGCTTTGGGCCTAGTGCATGCTTGCTGCTCCAAGTCAGAAAATATTCAGCAACCAGGTCGGTGCCCTGGCTCACACCTGTAGGGAACTTTCCTTCTGCTACTTATTTTGGCAATGGAAGGCATTACTAAATTATACCAGAAAGTATTTTTCTATATTTTAAATAAGAAAAATGGCTTTATGAGGACAGGGATCACAGCATAAAAGTAGTGGACACACTGAGTAGTTGCTGTGTGACTGAGAGACCCAGGTTGAGCCTTATCCCACATTACCTGACAGGCTCAGGTCTGCAAGTGACACACACACAGCACCAGTGGCTTAGCAGCAGGGATGGTTTGGTCTCAGTTCATGTCCCGTGGTATCTGCATGCTAGAGAGATCTCCCACCTCCGCTCTTGTGCTTCTCCAGACTTCAGTTCTAGCATGCCCTCACCTGAAGCAGAGGTGTGGTAGCTGGGAGAAGGATACTAAGACTATGCACAATCAGCCAGGGTAGAAAGGCAGTTCCATGTGTACTTGTAGAACATTAAGTTGTTGAAAGAGCTGAAAGCTTTCGGGTAGGAAGAGAGGTGGAGGTGTCACCAGTCGCATATGAAAACAGAGAGGGGGACAGAAAAATACGTAGGAGGGAACTGGCACTCATCTTGAGCAGGAGATACAGTGTGCCTGGAAAAGACCATATTTGTTTCTGTATTCAGAGGAAGGGAAATGTTGTGCAAACCAAGATGTTTACACAGGTGGCTGGCTAGGCTGTGACATTACTCTTATGAACTCCTTTGGACAACTGAAATAAGAATGCAGCAATAACCAAGCCAAAGAGCTCTGCTCACAGTGCTTAAATGCAAACCTCAAAGGCAGAGATGTGACATTGTTTGCAGGCTCCCTGAGTCAGGGGACTGTACAGCTCTGCTGTGTTATGAGGCCTGCTCTGGGTCTGATTTGGAGATACACTGGTAAAAAATCATGGCACCTGTTTTAGCTGTTGCCCAGATTACTACTGGTTGTAAAAGCAGTTACTGGAAGTGTTAAGATGTTCTGTATTGTTGTTCTGGCATCTCTGGCTTGATGCTAGTGATACTCTGACTTCTCCATTCAGGTGCTGCATGTGCAAAGGCATTTGTGTCGGATTTGCACCTGTTTTCTCTATGGCTGGGTACTGCTTTCTGGTTGAGGTGGTTTCTCCTTGAAAATCATGACATTGTGTGTTAACAGTGGAGAACAGAAGCTTGGATAACTTACCGGATCAGCAGCAGCTGGGAACCGTCAGTGTTCGAATCATGGTTCACGAGTGGCCTTTGTCATCCACGTCTGATTTGCAGCTGATTGTCATTCAGGAAGAAGTGACAGAAGTTGATGGAAGACAGGTAAAAAAAAGCCCTGCTACAATATTCTGCTTTTTTTTTAATTTAGGAGAGGCAAGTAGTTCCCAGGGCTTACCAGGTTTACATATATCTAGCTGGTGATTAGAACACAAACGATATAATTAATGTTAACTAACACAGTACTGAGGGAGACAGCAGCAAAGTTGGCAGCATAATAGTGGGGGTGTCTCAAGAGGAAACTTCAAGTTTTAATGCTTCTTTTTATATTATAATAATTATCATTAACTACATCACATCCACTTCAAATAAGTGAACTTGTGCAAGCATAGCCAGACTCACAAGCAAGAGTTGATTAATAAAATAATACACAAAATGAACAAAAGGGGCACGGGCTCATTCTGCTTCTTGAGGTTTTCCCCATTGTTTATTCCAAGCTAACCAAAGGTTTCAAGCAGGTAGCATGGGGAACAGCTTGCAGCAGGAAACCCTTGTGACAAGTGGGCTTACTGTGAAAGCCCACTACACCTGAGAGCTTAGTCTTAGAAGACTTTGCATGTAAGTTAATTTGCATCTTGATAATGAACATGGATTTTGAGATGAACAAGCACCTCCACCCCTCTGATCCTAACTGTATTTGCACAAATAGCAGTCAATGTGAGGGGTTGCAACTCTAGCTGAGGTTGAAATGTGCAGAACTGAGTTCTCAAAATCACCTGCGTATGGTGTAGTTGATTTACTAACTAAAGAGGTTCTGTAGAAAAGATCCAGCTGTTCAAGCCAGAAACTGTCATATTTCTGCTTCTGTACTTCTGCATCTTACATGTGGCCAGGCTTTTTTGAAGCTGGCTTGTGTTCTGCTGCCTTTTTCTTTTTTTTAAGGATAACGTTCATAATGCCTTGATTAATTGCATGGTCAGCATGTAGTAGTTTTTACAGGGATCTGTATCATGTCAGAATCTTAGTCTGTTAGTGAAAAACCCCGCTGAGAGGTCTGTAGCTTTTCCAGTGAGGTCTTCATCCCACTGATAATAGCCTAAGAATTGTGGTTTCACTTGTTACACAACAGTGGCATTGTATTTCAGGCCTCAAAGTAGACACCACAATGCATTTCAGATTTTCATAGGGACCTAGTAAAAACAACCAGAAAGCTAATGCTGTTTCCTTGATTGTTCCTTTTAAGTCAAAAGCATATAAGCACAGCAGAGGATCAGAATCACCTCCCTCAACCTTCTGGCCACTCTGCTTTCGCTGCAGCCCCAGGACAGAGTTTGCTTTCTGGAATGTGAGTGCACATTCCTAGGTCATCCTGAGCTTTTCATCTGCCAACACTTCCAAGTCCTTTTCTCTAAGGCTGCTTTTTATCCATTCACTGCCCAGCCTGTACTTGTGCTTGGAACTGTCCCAATCCAGGTACAGCACCTTGCACTTGGCCTTGCTGAACCCCTCAAGCGTGTTCAGCTCCTTCTGGGTGGCATCTCTTCCCTTCAGCAGGTTGACCACACGGTGTCATCAGCAAACTTGCTGAGGGTGCCCTCAGTCTCACTGTCCATGGTGCCAGCAGAGTTGTTAAACAGGAGCAGTGCAAATACCCATCCCTGAGGACACCACTTGTTACTGATCTCCATTTGGATATTGAGCCATTGGCAGCAACTTCCTAGAGTGCAAGCACCCAGCCAATGCCATATCCACTCCCAAGTCCATCTGTCTCTTGGTTGGAGACAAGGGTTTCAAACAGGACACTGTCAAATGCTGCGACACTTGGCTTTCAGTTGTTGAAAACAGGCAATGTTCCTGCAAAAGCAGAAATGTCAGTCTTGCCTCAGCAAGAATTTTGATGTTTGCAAGTGCTTTCACTACATACCTGAGCTTTCCATGCCCTAAAATGCCTCCCTGCAAGAGTATAGTGATGTACCATGTAAGACTTGGTTAAAAGCCCATGGATTGACTAGCATGTGCTTTTGCAGGAAGCAAGACCCAGTCTGTTCAGCATATTTTCTCATGTGGTATGGTCTACAGAAGTGTGATACGTGAAAACAAAGAATACCAGTTCATGTTATAACAGCTCTATGTGTACATCTTAGTGGCCTGGAGTTTTCTGGGATGTGCTGTTGTCCTCTGCCAGGCTGCTTCAGTCTTGCTTTAAGCTCAGTAATATCATGTTTGCATCTTTTGTAGGTTCAGCAGGAAGAAGTAACAGAAATAGATATTTTAGTAAAGGACCTGAGAGTACTTAGACATTCCAACTACACCGTCCCTTTGAAAGAGAGCATGCTGTACTCCTTGCCAAGGGACAACGACGTGTTATTTACACTGCCCAACCTCTCAGGAAAAGGTATCTCTCAGCTGTTCAGTAGCATTTTCATCCATATTCAATGTATTGCTTTACAGGCTAAGAGCATCGTTTATCCCTTGTTCTACATAGTGAAAGAGTTTCTTCATTAACAGGGACAGGTTTTGTTTTATATGTCTTGGTTTTTATTTTTTTTAAACACCTAAATTCAGCTCTTCATATTAGGTATTTTATTTGTTTGATTTCAAGTCTATTCTCCTTTGAAGTACTTGAGACTTGGCAGTCTGCAATCCAGACATCTGACAGGAGTAAATTTCTCTCTCAGATCTGCAATGGAAGTTTCTCTACAGCTCCCCCTTCTTCCTGGGAATGAGAGAGAAAACTGTAGAGGAAATACCTGTCTGGGTCAATTCCAAACCACAGAACAGTTTTCTGTTATTATACTTGAATAACTTAAAAGCAATAGAAGTTACTCGATGCCTTAATTTTATTTCAGTTTTGTTTAATCAAAAACTGTCAAGGATTTAATTGGAGTAGAACATTTTAATCTAGTCCATCACCTTTTAAACTTATGACAGCTGAAATTTACAGCTAAGGGCATAGCTAAAGGCTGCACTGTTTCTGCTTCTTAACGAGTTCACTGCTCAAGTTAAAAAAAAGCTTTCTGTGTTCTTGCTGTAAATGTGTGATAACTGTACCCTCTGCAGAGAAACACAGCATGTCTTTATTGTCCTTCACAGTGAGTCAAACAAAAAGCAAACTCTGCCCTAAATCTAGCTCTTCTTCTTCAGATATTCAAGATCCACTGCAGACTACCAGTCAGTACCTCATCCAGCAAGTAGAAACTACAGTGGATGAAGAGACATTACCTGGCAAGTTACCAGAGACCCCTCTTAGGATAGAACCTCCATCTTCTTACAAGGTGCTTTTACTATTTGTTTGATTGTTTTAATTATTAGTATATAAATACAATTGTTTAAAAACAGACAACCACTAAGACCAATGGATTTTTGCAGATAATTCCCAAATAAACCGAAAAATGCCCCCTCCTAAATGACCATTCAGCAGTGACAAGTCCAGTAGGAATCCATTGGGCTTCTAAATGTTGCCATGTTCTGACCACACAGATACTTCATGATAGTCAGTTGTGACATTTACATTATACTGAGCTAATAATTTATGACAATTTCAAATATTGCTTAGCTTTAAATTCCACCATTTTCTCCTGACTCTGCCCAAGTGCTTACCCCTCTGAGAAATAGACCACTGGTCTCACCTGCTGTAGGAAACACAGTAACAGCTGGTGAAGTGCAGTTCCAGCTTAGGCAAGGATGGGTTTCATGGGCTCCTCTGTGGCCATAACACTCACAGTTACAACCCACTGTCTGCTCTGTCCAAGTGTCCTTTATTTTCCAAAGGGCCTTTAATAAACAGAGAACTAAATGTTCACCTGTTTCAGACTTTGAGCAATAAAGATAGCTGAGCCACCAGTCAATTCCATCATGCTTTTATGTATGTTTAAGTAAAATTATCACCATCTAATGTGATTTACTAGTAGCTAAAAAAAACCTCCAAAACCCAGCAGTTGCTTTGTTTTGCAATCTTTGTATTTTTACCTGTTTTGTAGGTGATGTGCCAGTGGGTGGAAGACTTGAGAAAAGGGTTGTGCAGATTCTGGTTTCAATCTCTACCTATCTTGTTTAGTTTCATGGAAGTTGTTGTTGTTGGAGTTGTTGGAGCATCTCTTATTATCAAAGTCTTAAAGCTGATTCTTCCTTCCTGTGAAAATAAGTAAGTAATTTTTTGTAATTCTTTTTTTTTTTTTTGCTTTGATGAAGGCAAGATATTGACTAAAAGAATCTTCCAAGAAGCAGGCTCATACTGTAGGATAGTTGTAGCAAGAATTCAATGAGAAAGCTACTGGTAACTTTCCATTCCAAGTGCACCTCTGACACACAGGCATTTCAGAGAGACATGGGAAAGTACTTCATTGGAAATATCTTTAGCTGAGCTGTCATACTGCCAAATTTTTATCAAGCCTTCTAAGGACTACATTGTGAGATGCTATTAACATAATTCCAAGAAAGGAGGGTGGAAACTAGGTCTAAATAATTCCAGTATCTCCTCATCTTTTCATACTCCTACTGTGTTGGAGTTTTACAGTAGTTCTGAAAGGCCTCAAATTTGGCTTTGCAAATTTGCATGGGAGTTCTCCAAGGACGGGGACCTACCTCTGTAGGCAGCTTCCAAGCCATAGTGACTGCTGCTGGCATAGGTGGCAGGAGGTCCCAAATAAAGCTGATTGCCTGCAAGGGCTGCATCCACTCGCTGTGTTACCAGCAACACTAACATTTTTAGGGAAAGCAAGGTCTCAGAGCAAGGGGCAGAAAGATGAATTAGTAACTGCAGGTTATAAATCAGTGTAGATTTAGTGCTGGAATGGGTAAGCACGTGCACTTTAAAGCAACCTAAGTCAGCTCTGGAAGAGCCGTCCCTTGGAACTTCATGTTCTTTGGGAAGTGACTGACAGTGCAGCGTGCTTCATCGGCCCCGAGCACAGCTGATGTCTTCAAATGCAGCTGATCAGCTGTGCCTCTGAATGGCCCTGCATGCAGTTTATTTATGTATCCACTCAGGGGTACAGGTGTTCTTGGTCCAGGAAAATGGAGGGTTGGAAGATCAGGAAGGTTGGAAACTGCAGTGACAAAAGAGGCAGTGCTTCCCCTGGCATTTCACACAGTGTGCTGTCAGATGGGAGGGGGTTCCCCTGGTTAGAGTAGAAGGAGTGGAGAAACACTTTGTACTTTCCCCAGCAGTAAGCAGATTACCACTGGCAGTAAGTAGCTTAACACTGCCATGTATGAAACTGAACTAACTGGAACTGGGAAGAAAATTCTAATCCCAACAAACTGTTCAGCAAAGTGGATGATAACCTGTCCATAGCAGAGGTCAGTATGGAGCAGGGGAACCAGCTTGCAGTAATTTCTCTTCCAGTTGAGGAACATGGGGATTGCTCATGCCTTGTTAAGAGTGTACAAAGAAACTGAACCACCCCTCCATTAGAAGAAACCAACAAACTAAACCTCCAACAAAACAACCCCTAAACCACATAGTCATTTTCTTGCTACCTGTGTAAAGTGGTCCTCTAAAAAATGGTAAAGGTTTAACTCAGGATTGTAAACCAGTAAGAATGAGCAGAACATCTCATCTGGTGCATGACAGTTGCAGACGTGAGTTGGGACCTCATCCCAAGTCTTCAATGCCATTCTATGTTACACTGATAAAACTGGAGGCTGTTGCTGAGTCCAGGAGAATCAGCTGTAGGTCCTGACAGCAAACAGTTTTAGGCTACTATGAAACTGAGCAGCTAGAGCCTACACTGCTGACATTTCAGATGTAGAAACTGGGCAAAGGGAGCCCTCAGAAACCACAGCCACTACACTTTGGAAGCATTTTTCATTGCAACTTCATATAAGAGATATTATGAGGGTAGTAGTTGGTTGATGCATTGATTTAAACTAAGTTTGGGGAGTTTAAGAATAAGTCCAGTTTTTAGAACACAGAATCGTTTTGTGTATTGTTTTCTAATGCCAGGTAACCTTACCTTTCAGAGGCATCCTTCTCCTGGATCAAGTCAGCTTTGTACCTGTGACTACCATCAGCCTGCCTTCAGACCTTTCAGACAGGAAAAATAATTTAGATGAGAAAGCATGTACTTAATGCTGTATTTACTTTGGAGTTACTGGTTTCTAAACACACACTTTTAGTTGATCTGATATTTGGCACCTGATCTTAATACCTTGTTTTTTTCCTACTAAGAAAACTAAGTCAGTTGATTAATTGATAAACAGCCACTCAGGCCAAGGCCCAAAGCTGACTTCCTTGTGCCTCTCCATAAACAAGCAGCCTTTTCAGAAGCTTCAAAGTAGAACAGCTGTCTTTTCAGAGGTTTTAAAATAGAGCAGCTTTCCACCCTGAGGGCTACCATTGGTTTTAACTTCTGTGAAGTCACTTTTACACACCTCAGACAGGATATGCTGGCTGCCTTCATGCCCATAAACCAAGTCAGCTGTCCTGACTAATAAGATCATGAAATTCAGGGTGTCCTTAAGTCCAGAGATAGCATTCTTTTAAAAAATATGAGGAAATATTGCAAACATCAGCTGTGCCTGCAAACCTAAGCAAAGCTACCCCACCTGGTTCCAGGTCTCATAGGGTTGAGCATGTCTTGCAAGGAAGATACCACTACCAAACATTTGTGTTACTCAAAAGATCTGACACTTCATATATGCAAAACAAAAATTTGAACGGAACATTTATATTTCAAGCACTTTACATTTTTATGGCCCCTTCCACTCATAAAAACTGTTAGCAGTTGTAACCAGCTTGCTTTTTGTATCTGTGACAGCAGTACTCTATGAAGTCCCAGAAGAAAAATGAAAATTCCATTAAATTCTACAGAAATACTGGCTTACTATTGCTGAGTAGGCCCAGTCTGCTCATGCCAGTTTGTACTGTTAACATTTTTCAAATAAACATTTAAATTGTTTATTAGACTGTGTTCATGTGCTTTTATATTTATGTAAAACAGCAGTTTGCCAAACATTTCAGACTCAGGACACTGTCTGTTTCTTAGCTTTTCATTGTTCTTACTTAGAAAAATTTGTCAAAAGAATGAATAGGAAATAAAATCTCAAAACTGTAACTACCTGACACTAGACTGAGCACAGTTATCTTCTGAGTGATCAGAATTACCTGTGTTCAGCTGGAGTTGTTAGAGTGAGGGAGAAAAGCTGGGATTCTCCCCTCCTCCTGCCCTAAGGAAACATCATGTGCTTAATGAGATCCAAGCTACTCAGATGCTGGTCTGTGACAGGAACAGCTCTCATTGTCTCACTGAGCTGACAGCACTGCAGTGATAAAAGGAACATTTCTAACACCGACTTGGCCTTGTAAAAAAAACCAAACCAATCTTCACCACCCAGCAGTGCAGCGTGGTACACACCACACCAGCTCAAAGTAACAGGGACACTGCTCAAACTTCCCTGTTTTTTGTTCTAGTACCTTGTGGGTGGCAGAGGGATTGTCACCCATGGCTGAACAGGAAACTGCTAGGATTAGCACAGGAGTGGTGACTGCACAGAGAAGAGCAAGTACTCAAACAGGTGTAGACAAACTTGTCTGTGCATGGATATTGCCTGGCCCCTCCATTTGCATAGTCCAATAAGAAGTGATGCACAAAGCTGAAGTTAGCTTCTTCTGGGGGAAAAAAAAATAGGATGGACAAGAAACACAATAGTTCTCCCTTAGTGCACAAACACAGTAGGAATTATGCTGCAGATGGAAACTTGGCAGCTGTCTGCATGTGCTCTTTGCATCCCTCCTTATGAAACTGGAAACCCAGCACCTGCAACAGCCACAGGGAGATTAGCTGCTCTAAACAGCTGCAACAAATGCATGGCTAGGCATGAAAGTGCTGGTAGTGCTTGAAAACTTGGCTGATTTCTGTAAAGTTACAAAGCAGCAGGAAAGAAGTATCACAATCAGGTTAATGGAATTCTAAAAAGAGTGCAAATCTTGAACACAGTAACTGCCAAACAGTTTCTGCTGCCTTTTAGAGCTGAAGTTATCAAGGCTTTAAAAAGTTAAAGGTTTTGTGTTTCTGCTTTAGCATGCACATAGTTTTCCCAAATCACAAGTCTCATGCCTTTCAGAGGAGTGCTACTCTGAGCTGGCACCACTCTGAAATATTTTGTAAATTGATTAAAAAACCACCTCAGCCAACTAAGACAGTAAGGAAAGAGCAACTGTCCTGCATGCCAGGTCTCATTTTTCCAGGACGTGAACTGATGTGCCCTCTAGGGGAAGGTATGTGGGGGGACTGGGAACTGAAAAAAAAAACCCATCAAAACCCATCTACCCAAAAAAATCCCTGGTGGGATAGTGGTAGGTTGCTAGAAACAGCAACATCATCTCCTCACAAGCACCACACTGCAGCCCTTCCTGCCCTCAGAACTGCGCATCACCACGTTGTGTGCTCCAAACCAAAATGAACCTCTGAGCTACAAACTCAGCCTCTATCACCTTTTCCTTCCTGTACTATGCATTAGAGATGTTAATTTTGTTCAATCAGGGTGAACAGGGCTGGTTGACTACTAAAGTACTACTTTTAAGATGAGGTTTACTTTAGGAGTTCTCAAAATATATCACACTTAGTCTAAGTGGCCCCTTAATGGACTGCTGCCAAGGTCCAAAGTTTGCTTACTCTCCCGTCTTCTGTGGGAGACAGATCAAATATTCTGGTTTGTTTGCAGTGAATTAGGAGAAGAAACCTGCAACAACACCTGGCAGCTACACTCTCATCCTTACACACAAACAGAAAGATAAGTATTAAGAGTACTCACATCTTCAAAATATTACACATTTTTATTAACTCTGACACATAAAACTATCCGAAAATCGTGAATTTGTTTTCCATTCTGGAAATGGAAGTCTATAAATGTGCACACCTGTATACTCACCTCAACATTCCTTGCATTCCTGGGTTCTTCATGCAGGTCCACCCAGGGATTCAGGAGCTCTCACAAGATCTGAGTGTCTAACTTGAGCCTCCACTGCCGACACTGCTAGAAGTCCCTATTCAGCGTGTCCAGCTGTCACTCACACCATAGCAATGAATTTCAGGCACATGAACAAGATGCTCACAATAATGCCATTTACACAGCTGTGTCTTTGAGATGCACTTGCCTCCTACTCAGACTGCAACTCTGCATTACCATTATGAACAGGAATTCCACAGCCAGCTTTATACAGCATGTTATCTACCAGCTGGAACAAGTCCAGGCCTATTTGGTTCATGAAAAATAACGAAGTTTACCCATAAGCAGAGCTACAGCTGGCTGCACTGGGAGCAGCTAGCAGGAAGAAGTGTTTCCCAAACAGTAGTAGATGGTTAGAAATTAAAGGTGGTTTAGTTACAATTTACCACTGTTCAGCAAAATCTAAAATTATTACCTGGATGGTTACTGCAGACTCAGATAGTAAGTGGCATGTAGAAGCAGTTAAGTAATGAAAAATCAGAATTTAGATTTTATGTCAATTGTACAGTCAGGGTTGTAAACTGAGTACAAACACAACACATGCTGCCTTACCAGAATAACCCTGTAAACCAGGACCCAACTCACCAGTCTGTTTTGCTGCTTGCAGACAGTCAAGGGAAAAAGAACTATTGCACAATTAATGCCAGAAGGCTTTTGATTTCTCAGGCTAACAAGGAAACTACACATGTGACAGCATCACTGCTGGCTGTACAGAATTAGTTTACACCAGCTGGACATATTTTAATATTATTTAACAGCTACCGTAAACCCGTGATGATCTTAACCTCTTGCTCAAACTTCACTAACTTTATTGACTATTCCAGCAGGAGGGTTGCTGTTCCACATCTCAGCCTTTGCACAGGTTCTTTAACAATAGTTTAAAGGTAGAATTCTCTAAGATTTAAAACTACCTGTGTAACTGCATCTTGTTTGTCCCATTTTCAAGTTCTCAGCACCCCTGACTCACTTAGCAGGGGTAGCTTGAAGGGTTCATTGACACAAAAGCAATTTTTCAACAGTACCAACTGATGAAAAGAGTTCTAGTATTAAAGTAATTTTAAAATTTAGAAAATCAAATCAGATACCATCAGCATTTGAGAAAAATGTGACTTCTGAGCTAGTTCAAAGACAGCTATGCAGAACTTGCATTTTAAAAAAAATTTATTTAGACATCTGTTGCTCTTAAATTACAAAAGTTAAAAAGAGCACGCAGTGCACTGACACGTCACCCATTACTTCTAAAGCTGTTTTAAGACATAAGGTGGTTTCTTCAAGAGAACACAACTCAACAGGATCCAAACTCAACTATCCATTTCTCGTATTTCTCAATGTCCGCAGCAGAAACAGATTTAGAAACTTTCTTCAAAGCTATTTCGAAGTCTTCCATAGTTGTTGGCATGTGCATTTCATCTCGGGGAAGATTTCTGATTTCTTCTGGGGTCAAGCCTTCAATACGCCTCCTCATAGCCATCAGTGATGCATCTCTAGTCAGGAGGGTAAGAAAATAAAATCATTACTCAGTGCAGGATGGTGAGTTCAGTTGTTTGAAAGGCTCAACACAGCATTCCAGTTAAGCTGCTGCATTCAAAGAGATTCAATAAAGAACTGTAAACTTTTATGGGAAGATCTCCAAGTGCTTGTACAAGCCACAATACCATGTTATCCATATTTTTCAAACATGGCATTATCCTCACTGGATATCTAAACAGCTACTATTCATAGGCTAGGCAAAAGAGGTAAAGACAAACTAGTTTAGCTGATGTCACTGCATGCCTATGATGTATCTGCTGTTTATAGTATTTTTAAACAGGAACATTGCAATAACAATTTCACTCCTCCTAGATATAGAAGGAGTAGCTGAAGTGTTTTGAATGTTTTCTGGTTTGAACAGGAATCCCACTTCAAAGACAGAGGAGTCAACAGTATCTACCCTCCAACCTGTACACTCAAGAGCTAAATGTTAAATAACAAAATCTGTTCTGTAGCTCCTCAAATTCTGCCCTTAATGAGCACTGAGTGCTTTTACAAGTGTGTCATTTTCTTTAGTGTTAGGTTTGACTACATTTAGATTTCCAGCAGTAAATCTGGTAGCAGCAGGTGACGAGCTGGCAAGGTGATAATTAGGTAACACTGGAAGGCTGAAGTTCCTGCTAATTAATTGTTATAGATCTTATAATAACAAGAAAATGCTGTTAATCTGTCTAGCAGTAAAAAAGATGGAATCTTTTAATCTTGGTGATATCACAGTAGTAAATTGTGTCATATCAGAAGGTGAGATTCTGAAGAGAGAAAAACTTACACATTGCCTTCCAGAAGGATTTAGAAAAATGGTTTGAGCATGTTCTGTTTCAGTACCATCCCCTCCCGCTAAAGGAAACCGTAACTGTCAGACTTCAGGAATGTACTAAATTCACAGAATCACAGAATATTCCAAGATGGAAGGGACCCCCAAGGATCATCAAGTCAAACTCTTGAATGAATGGCCTGTACAGGGACTGAACCCACAACCTTGATATTATTAGCCCCATACTCTGACTAACTGAGCTAATCTCATTGTTAATTAATAAATTAAAATCTCTTAATACAGGAACTAAAATTTTAGAACAACCAAAAGATTGCCTTGTTGAACTCCATCTCAACCAAATACCACCACGCTTCACTGTTACATCATTTGTAAACCATAAGCTACACAACGGGGTGAGGGGACATTCCATGCATCTAATTGGCTTCCAGACAGCAGTTTAAAAAATCAGAAAAGTCCAGCGAAAACAATCCAGCCAACCAACCAGCCCATCATACCTTAACACACTGACAGAAGTGAAGCACAGCTGCCACCACTACTTCCTTTTGTAAAGTCATTTTATGGACAGTCCAGTATTCCAAACTGAACTCCTGGTGCTTTCTCAAATGCACTCTTGGTGCCTGAAGAAGCACCAAAGCTCTATTCAAAACACAGTTAGCCACCCACACAGCAGGGGCCAGTTCTGTTCTAAAGGCCTTTCAACATTGACAGTCCACCCAAAACAACGATTCAAAGTTAGTTCATACTCACATCTGATCTGCAATTTGGATGCATTTTGTATTCCTGAATTTTAAAATGAAGATTCACCTTCATTTCCCCCTGCTTATATGCTGACTGCTAGGAACTGTAGTGTTACCTCTGACTGGTTTTCACTCTGGCTCAGCAAACTTTGGACTTCACTTCAAATTCTTTAAGATAGGAGGGTAATTTCAGTAAACCAGAGCTCTTGGTCCACTTTTTCTTATGTTCTGCTTGTGTCACTAGCAAGGACTGACATAGTATACAGGTTTGAACTTTACTCTGCTTATATCCTGAGAGCCTGAACCATAAAAAAGCACTTTTAAATCATCCACATCTTTTTGTCTCAATGTAAATGAAACCATCATATCCAAGAGCTATTTCTCCTGACACCATGAACAAAGTGTAAATACACAGGTTAATGCAAGTACTTTCTTAGTAATTTCAAACCATGTACATCCAAATCTCAGTTCATCTGGATTTCTGCTTGCTGCCACCTCAGTCTTCACTTCAGAGACTGCCACAAATAGCAGATGCAGAGGTTTCTTTGTGGTTTTTTTTTAATCTTTTTGTTTTGTTTTATAGTATTTGTACAAAGGGGCTTTGGTTAAAAAAACAAAAGTAATTGTGCACAAATATATACACACAAATTTCACTGAAAAACATCACAAGTATTTTCATTTCTAAAATAAGTGTATTGATATTCAGTATAAAATTAATTACAAACAACAAACATGGAACAGACTGAAGGAGACAAACCGCAGCTAAAATACACATACCAAAATAAACAGCAGACCAAATAAACTCTTTCATACAACATGAGCCTATTAGCACAAACTCCTTCCAGAGCAGAACCAAAGATCAGAAGAACACCAGAAATCCATCTCACAAACCTACAAATGCAACAAATCTCCACAACACAGATTCAGAACAACTAACATACCATTCTTTTCCCAGACTCTGGGCAAGGTTTGTTCAGGAAACTCTACCGAGGCTCTGAATTTTTAGCCCAGCCTGCAGTGGCCCTGCTGCCAGAGCCTTTGGTGGCAGCTTTGAGTACAGGCTGCTTGCTTGCATCCCTGTGGCACAGCACATTGTCCTCCCAGCTGTGCTGACACGTGTCTGCAGAACCACGTTAAGAATCTGGGCAAGAAATGGATCCGTGTTTGAGGGAGCAGCCGGGAGGTGATTTTACTCCAGCCCTCTCACCCTGCTCAAAGCCCACAGAAGTTGGGCTGGAACAGCCAGGAGCTCAAGCCTTGCCCTGCCACGCTTCAGTGCTACCTCCAAAGCCTGAAAGCAGCGTTACACAGGTGCTCATCAGATGACATCAGCATCTTAAACAGCTTCGGTTCTCTGTCCGTACTGCAGATCTCAGAGCTTCCACTGCCACAGCTGTGCCAGTGCAAGTCTTCTGATGTAAACAAAACAACTTGTCCCTTAACAGATCAGTCCTCTCCCTCCCTTTCCAGTTTTTCAAAGAAAATACAAGGGAAGAATTAGAAGATATTTTTAGTCAATTATTTCAGGAATCTAGGCTAGAGAACAGGCCCACAAACAACTGTATGCCAACAGTACCAAGGATTCAGGGAAATGAAGGAGATAGCAGAAAACTTTAGTCAGTCTCATCACAAAAACCAATGTGGTGAGTACACAGCTCTTGTACCATCACACAAGACTCTAGACTTTTTCCATGTCATGAGAAAAGAAAACTCCATGTTTTTACTTTAGTTATTCCAGCCTCTATCCCTGTTGCCTCTCACATATGGATTTCTGCAGAAGTCATATAGCCCAAGCAGAATGACTGCAACTCAACAAGTTAACCATCCTCTGGATAATCCTCACGCATGGAATTTAGTCTATATGAAAGAAGGTGGAATTTTACCTAAATCACAGCCTATTAGATTACTAGGTTACAACTACTCTTCAAATAGAAATTTAGGTACATATTAATGCAGTATTTCACCTTTTAGCCATACATAAAAGACGAGTCCATTTTTATTCAATAACTTTAATCATGTAAACTGGCTGCCTTACAGTTTTCCCAAAGTCTGCAGCAGTAGTAACACAAATGATGCAATGTCAGCTTACCTGCATACGTTGGTAATGTCTGCACCTGAATAACCCTCCATTTTCTCAGCTATGTTTGCAAGGTCAACATCATCAGCCAGTTCCAATTCTCGCAGATTTATTTTTAGGAGTTCCTCTCTACCTTTGGCTAATCACAGAAAAGAAAATTGAGTCTGTACAATTTGCTTTCTGAAGATAAATAATAAATTGATGGAGGATAAGAGGTAAGGATGAGGAAAAGGATGCTGTACTTGCTAAAAAGGTAAATATTCATGTTTAGATTTAAGCTGGTCCTGAATCCATAAGTGAATTTGCATACATGTATCAATTAGATTTTTAAACCAAGTGATCAAAACTAAAGGAATATTGATAAAATTTAGATATTAGAATTTTTAACCACTCCTCTCCCCAATTCTTCATACCTGATGGTAAAGGAATGTAAATTCTCTTTTCTAGTCTCCGTCTTAGTGCTTCATCAATATCCCAAGGAAAATTAGTAGCAGCAAGTACCATGACCATCTTAGAAGGATCATCATTTTCAGTAGCACCCCCTACACCTGCAGTGCAGAAAAGAGGTAAAATATGCATATGTTTTTTGAAATTTCATGTACAGAGGAAACAGTTCTGCAGTATTAAAGCAGAAATGTAACTACTGCACTTTAATGAGCCCAAGCATAATAGAATCACCACGCACAACACAGGTCACTTTTTCATCTCTGTGACAGTCTGCAAGCATAAATGGAAGCCTGGTTTAAACAGCAGCAGGGGCATAGGGCTCTACTCAGACCAGGAAGTTCCTGTCTATCATGGCTAGAATGGTTTTACAGCAGAGTTGTTTGTACTTCTGCCACAACAGTGGTTCAATTTTCACACCAACATCTTGTAGCAGCCTGTGAGGAAACAAAACAACGCCCAACACCATCACCACACCAAAAACCAACATCCCCCACAGTATTCACCAACAGCCACACTAAAGCAGCATGACTCCCCTACAAGGTGTCTTCACTTCTGAAGTCAGGCCAAAGGTTTCTCATGTACAGGTGGACTGTGCAAACTGCTGAAGTGAATGTTTAAATTTGGTGGACTAAATCACAACTTCTTAGAGACAGACAGAACACCTCAGTTTCTAAACACTATGAATCTGCTACAAAGGGAAGAAGGTACTCCCCTATAAGGTGTCTTCACGTCTGAAGTCAGGCCAAAGGTTTCTCATGTACAGGTGGACTGTGCAAACTGCTGAAGTGAATGTTTAAATTTGGTGGACTAAATCACAACTTCTTAAGAGACAGACAGAACACCTCAGTTTTTAAACGCTATGAATCTGCTACAAAGGGGAGAAGGTGATTTTGTTAAAGTTGCTATTCTCTGTATCTACTGGTTTTGGTTAGAACAACAGGACTGGGCTGTGGGATAGCTGCTGTACCTAGTCTGCCTGAGAGTCTGCATATAAAACACAATTTATTAATGCCTAAGTAAAAGGACTGAAATAGTGCTTACTAATAAAATCAGATTATGTACATACTTGATATGAGAACAGTATTAGAGCTCTGCTGCTCTTTAAAGACAAAAATAAAAGGGTACCAACATCAGAGAAGGAGAAATAAATATGCAAATCTTCTGACTCATGGAATTCTATCACAAAGCAGTCCATAGATTAGCACTTCTCAGTAGCTTCTTTGCTTCTCTCTGCTCCCCAGAATAGAAAATAAAGGCCTCTGTAGCAACTCTGCATTGTTACCTACTTTTGAACTTCATTGATTTGTGAAATTTTAGCCACATACTTGTAGTGAGATCAGTGCTTTAAAATGAGAACTCTCTCAACCACTTCTATAAAACAGAACTTCACTTGTTATTTATATTTTTAGAAGAAAAAGAGATCCCAAAGAAGTGAAATGCAATGCCGCCTTTGAAGTTTAAATAAAAATAGGTAACAGTTCTTTTGAAGCACTTTTTACTTAATTTTGAAGAAGTGAGTGATATGCCAGGCAAAGACTGAGAGAAGCAGGGTTTTTTTCTGCTGCTCTTTTGAAATTTCTTGTATTTTCCACTGAATCTTCCTTATTCTGGGTCACTAATACAAGATCATATCTCAGAGGCCAAACGACTGTTAAATAATGTCACTTGTAGCGTTTAACCCATTTCATGTAAGGCTTTTGAAAAACTGCTTCTGAAGAATGAAGTTTCACTTGGTTTTTTTTGGTCCCTCAAGTTTCCCCCAGTCCAGCAGTTCCCAGTGATCAGGTTATTTACCATCCATCTGAACGAGCAGCTCTGCCTTCACACGTCGGCTGGCTTCGTGCTCCTCCGAAGTTCCCCTGCGGCTACAGATGGAGTCTATCTCATCAATAAATATGGTTGTGGGGGCATAAAATCGAGCCTGAAGAAAGCAAAAATAAAGCAGAAGCTGAAATAGCAGTTCACTCCCATTTAAGAAGTAGCAGCATATTCAGAGCAGAGTAATGATGTATTTACCCCAGCTCCTAGGTATCAAAGGACCCCCACCCTTCCCTCTCTTGGACCCCAGCCCTCAGGTACAGAGCAGCTGCACATTCATCCAGAGCCTTTGAGCAGAAGGACTTTTTGCCGAGTCCTGTAGTTGTTAGGGCTAAAAACAAACATTTCATAAGCTATAGGCAGTTTCCCACATTAGGAGTAACATTCTGAACTGTGAAAGTCATCACAGATTGCTGGAATAGTATTTCAGTTAAAGCCAGGATGAATGTTAAGCTGGGACATCATGACATGGAGCTTGTCCAAGAGATAGGTGAACTGCAAAATAAGTGACCTTTCTGAAAACAAGAGCATTTAAAGACAAGGATCCAGGATAATAAAAGCTATTGTATTAGAGCAGTTGACATGCTGTTCATTGTGTTATCTGTATTTTTGACCAATCACATTAAATGAGCTGGTATCCCACCTGACAAACTATAATGTAAAAGATCTTTTACTTCCTGCCTTTTCTGATTACTGCAATTGCAACTCTGCTGTTCCCTTCAGTAGTGGGCACCTTAGCAAACACTGCACAACACCTCATAACACACGGGAAAAAAAAAAACAACTATTTTCTGAGCCCATTTCAAGTATTATGAGCTCTGAAGCCAACTACAGTTTGGGAGGCCACTTCTTTTAACCACAAACAAAAAACCACCCACAGAAACAACAAAGCACACAACCTAAATAGGGCTCTCACCCAGAAAGCAATTAACTCCATCCCTAGATTTCCATTCAAGTAGGTTCTGCAGCACTCACCAGCTTACAGTGAGCTACCTCTAATGTAGCAAGTTAACCCTGAAAATAAAAGATGACCTATTTTTCAGCTTTTATAAATCCATTTAGGAATAATCTTGAAATGCAAATCAGTAATGGCCCAAGCATTCCAAGCTTGGAGAGCTATTTATGGATGCTGTAAGTCTGAAACCTTGGTAAGGTTTCACTGCTCCAGAGGTGATTCTACTTCATTATCTCACTGATTCTGACCAGAAACTTAAATCACCATTTCAAACAGCAGACGAACAAGTTTCTCAGATTCTCCTCTGTATTTTGAGGTAAGTGTGGAAGAAGAAACATTGAAAAAAGTTGTCTTGCATTCAGTGGCTACAGCTTTTGCTAGGAGGGTCTTTCCAGTACCAGGAGGACCAACCATCAGCACACCCTATAAAAATGAAAAAGAACCACTTTTAGGACAAGAATCAAACCAGAGAATTTTAGAGTTTGTTTAGTGTAATAGTAAACAACTGGATGCAAATTTTCCCTTGAAAAGTAATTCAAAGGTAAGTAATTAATGTCATGGCTTACTTGCAAACACCTAGCTGAAGACACTGTGCAGGTATCCGGCTGACATCTTTATTTTGTTGTTATATACAATAAATTTTGTTACTAAAGCGTAGGAAGAATTTATTTAAACTGTAAAACATTTGAAATTTCTTGTTCTGCCAAAATCCAATCTCAAAATCCTACTTATGATCACAGGAGCAGATTTTTTCATACCTTCCACGGTCTTCTAATGCCCTTGAAGAACTCTGGCATCCACATTGGTAAAACTACAGCTTCCTTAAGCAGCTTTTTGGCTTCTACTAAATCAGCAATGTCATCCCTGATAAGAAATAGAAAGTTGTTTGAGAGATTCAGACAGCAGGCAAAAGAATCGCTCCACAGCTCAAAAAACTGCACAATTAAACTTATTGCTACGCATTGGCTCTCCCAGAAATCTAATTAATTTTCCTGAATTATTTACATTCTAATTGCAAAAGCCTGTAACAGCTACAATTGACATCTGCCTGGCTGACACCTGGCAGGCTCCAGATGGATGCAAAAGCAAAAAAAAAAAAAAAAAAAAACAAACATGAACTATTTCACCACTGTCTGCATTCAGAGAAAGACAAGCAGAAGAAAGCAGGCTGGTTAAACTTAGCATAATTGGTAGTTAGCCTTTCTTGTTTTGCTGAGAGGTTGGATGTCCCTGAAACTTAAATACCATCTTTCATTGTTACAAGAACAACTTGCTGAAGACCAGTAAATGAGCAAATTAAACAAAATTTTTAGAATTATTTTACAGAGTTATAAAAGTATTAATTCTTAAATACCTTATAGGCTGGTCTTATTTCCTTGAAAGTAACTTTTAGGGCATTCCTCTTATCAGCATGTGCCCAAGTAACATTTTGGTTTCAAAACACATCTATATGAAGAACTAGTTTAAAATCTGAAGTCACAATCTAAGATTCAGTATAAAAACCAAAACATATATTTAAATATTAAACTGAAATCTAAGGCAGTTGCATGCATACAAAGTGTTTTGTGGGACTGTTTGGTTTTTTTTAAAAGCCTACTTTATTTGCCAGAAGAATTTTGCTCATTTAATCCTCACAAAACCACCTAAGCTTGGAAACATTTGGAACACAAAACAAGCTTTATATAAGGTTTAATATTTAACACGTTTATGTAAAGGCATTGGCACAGGATTATATTTTATACTCGTGGCCACATTACATCCAGCAACATTTCCAAGGGTTCCTATATCTTTGTTAATCAGTTTTCTGACTTGATATGCCCCAGAGTAGCAAAACACATTTTCAAATGAAGAGACACTGACAGAAATTAGAAACTTTTACACTGCAAAAGAGTATCTCAAAAATTGATCTTAAGACTCTCAGAAAATTTTGAGAAGCTTTGTATTGCCAAGTTGGACAGGACTTTAGACAACCTGATTTAGAGAAAGATGTTCCTGCCATGGCAGGGGACTGCTTTACCTGATCTTTAAAGGTCCGTCCCGCCCAAACTACTCCATGAATCTATTCATGGAAAAAAAATTTTTGAGCTCTAGAAGTATACAATGACATAAACAGTTGCCTATTTAAAGGCAGTAAGGAAATCCTGTATGTACTTTTCATATGTAAAATGCTTTTTTATATGTTAAAATACTTAATTCTTGTCATACCACGTGAGAGGAAACAGAAACAGCTCAAGAGACTAGCAGCAGTACTCAAACTTACCATCGGATGTTGGGATTCTGAGAAATTATATCTCTTTCCAAAGCTTCTACTAAATCTTTGTCATATCCAGTACTATCAAATTTCTTTGGTTCAGACTCTGAAATCTCAGATGTGGATTTGTTCTACATATAAAGGATATAACAATGTAAATACATAACAAAGGTTATGCTACTAATGAATTTTTACCACAAGTCCACAACAGCATCATATTTTTAGAAGATGGCAACATAAACCAGCATGAAAATCATGAAGCATCCATATTACAGCTGCACTGCAGGATGGATCTGTGTGTTTCACCCAGATTTCTGTACTGCCCTGGCTCCATTTCCTTCTCCCCAAAGCCAGCATGTTGTACTGAGGCAGTTTCTTTGTTTTGGTACCTAATGAAAACTGCATACACCTATCCCAGTGTAACAGCTTCTGCCTCTTCTCCCACAGAAATATGAAACTATCTGAGACACAGCAGTGTAAGACTGGACCACAAGTGTCACACAGAGTATCCCAAATTCTCTAAGTGTCATAAATATGCCATGTATGTGGGACACAAAAAAAAAAAAAAAAAATTAAGCATGACTTCCACAAGTAGAATGAGAATGGTGATCTTCAGGGAGATCACAGGGGTAAAACCAGAGCTAATTAACTGATACAGAAGCATGGACATGAACAGCAGAGAAGCAGCTCTGCAGCAGAGTCAAAGCAAAGAAGCTACATAGTTGAAAGGGCTCAAACAGCAGAGACCATGCAACTGAAAGGAAATAAAATACACTAGACATACCCTGGTTTTATACATTTAACAGCAAGCACTGGTGATGACAGAACAACTGTAAAAGAGAAAAAGAGACCTCTCCTGTCTCTCTGTGGGTATATTCTGATGGAGAGAGGATTATCACTCAAAGGCAATCTAATTTAGCTTCTAATAAAAGTAGTAGCCTACACAGCTAAACAAGTCTACCCTTGTAGATTATACTACCTCCACAGGCCATGACACCTTGCCACAGCTGAAGGCTGATGAAGCTAACAAACTATTGCATGGATATTTGATTTATTTAGACCCTGAAAAACTATGAATCTGCTGTTTCCTGTATGGTCTCTTACCTTGGTCATCTGCTAAATTTATAGAGACCAGAGCACAAAGCAAAAATTAAAGCACTCTGATTGCCAAGAACAGATAATAGTTCAAGTATGCTGGGGTTTTGTTCATTTACAACTGAAGAGAGTATGGAGCTAGCAACATATCTCAAAAGGAAAAAAAAAAGGCAAGGGTCTCATTTAAGGATTAAGTAAATCTTGATATGCTTTGGAAGAGGCAAGTCAATCTTGGTTTAAATTATACTCAAAGCAATTATGCCACAAGGACGTTCCATGTGAATGAGTTCCACTGGGCTCTGTTTCAGAAATTCAGTGGTGTCATTTTAAACAACTGCCCTCAAGCTGCAGTAAACATGTCACAGAATCACAGAATGGGTCAGGCTGGAAGAGACCACAGTGGGTCATCTGGTCCAACCTCCCTGCTCAAGCAGCATCATCCCAGAGCACACGGCACAGGATTGTGTCCAGACAGCTCTTGAGTATCACCAATGAGGGAAACTCCACAACCTCTCTGGACAATCTGTTCCAGTGTGTGGTTACCCACACAGTAAAAAAGTGCTTCCTCACGTTCAGGTGGCACTGCCTACGCATCTGTTTCTGCCTGCTGCCTCTTGTCCTATTGCTTGGCACCACCAAGAAGAGCCTGGAAATACCCTCTTGGCACCGACCTTCAGATATATTTACCAGATCCCAACTTCCCAGAGCGATTGCTTGTTTTTAATTAATCCATAACCAACATTGTGCACGAAGAAAAGACATCTTAAAAGGTGAGATTCAAATCAGCACACTGACAGGAACAGAAGAAACATTTTATAGGCATGTCATTTTATAATACACTCAGTAGTAAGAAAGCACAACTGAGTATCTCAACCCTGTGAAGTTGTTTTCAAGTTTACCTTTTCCTCTTTTCCTTTATTTTGCTGATCCTTTTTTTCCCGGCTGCGGACTGCCTTCCCTTTATCGCTGGGGTTCCGAGAGGAGGGACGGTGCGAGCCCCTGCCAGCTGCACTCACACGATTATTGTGCCCTCTGCAATCACTGCACGGAGCAGACTGGCGCTTCCTGGGTCCTGGCGAAGGTCTAATTAGTTGTAACATATGCAAAAAGCCTCAGTGTAAAGCCACTGGTGAGCACCACATAACCAAATCAACTGGTTACAAACTGAAAAGCCATTTGGCTCAAGATAAAAATCTGTATGTCAGAAACAAGACATATTTTTAGAGAGTGACTAAAAATCCATTTTCCCTGTGCCACAAGCTCAGGGTCCACCTGCTTAAAATAAGGGCCTTGCTTTGTATATTTCATCAGTTTAAGTAATATGGAGCTCATAAAAAATTAAAAAGCAAACAATAATTTGACAATACAATTAAAGTAATCTAACAGCCACTTTCTGTCAAAATGCACAGTTCTGTGTCTGCTTTGCACGTACTCCTGTCCCCTCCTCCATGCTACCACTGGCACATGTTAGAACCTTCAGTGAACCAGGTCAGACAGCTACTCACAGAAAAAGGCAAAAAAAACCAAACAAAAACCACTAGACACACAGAACAATGTCTTTAGCATCCTGAAGCAGCTAATTAATGCCAACAGAGACAAAAGTGAAATAAAAACTCAAAACCAAAAACCAAACAACTTAGGCAACAGTGTGTGGGGGGAAGAACCTTGACATAAAGACAAAACCTCCAGAAGGTTCACCTGACACCTCCTTCACCACAAATGGTGTCAAGCTGCTGGTGTGAGTGTTACACACCTCAGCTCAAGAACAAAAATTACACCACAACAGGCTGAATTCCAAGCACACTTTGTCCTGATAAATATTAATTTAGGTCTTCAGGTTTCCTCTTACCTACGTTCAGCAGGTACTGGCAAAGACCAGACTTCTGCATCGTGAGCTGGTAATTCTTGTTGTGAGGCTTTCAATGGAGTATTGTCTAGTTTAAAACTCTCCAGTGTTTTCATTATATCTTTCACATGCTTAGCTTCCACACTTATCTCCTGCCAAACCTGATTTAAAACAAAAAAGGTAGATTAAGCACATTGGAAATAAGTTTGTAACAGTCCTCTGTTCAAGCTCATGAAATGCCTGGATGTATTCCACAGGGTTTAATGAGCTACCTAATTCTACTTCAAAGAATAAACAAGAATTACGCACATTAGATATTAAGGAGGTTTTTCTGCCTTCCTCAGCACATTAAAGAACAAAGAGATTTTGGATTTAATATCAAAGAGACTTTTGACAAATTTTGCAGATTAAACAGGTACAACAGAACCTAACAGACTAAATATCAAAAGTATCAACCTAATAGGCAGAATATCAATAAAAAACCAGAGGGTTTTTGTTGAGGAGATATTATCAACTTGCTGTTAAGGACAATGTTAGTCCCACTAAAACATTGAGGGAAATAAGACCCTAAAGATACCAGTCTAAAAAACTTGAGCATAACAGGCGTACTCATCAGCATAGCTGTTAGGGCAGACATTTCACTTGCTCCTCAGAGCCATGTTCCACTGACTGTTCTGCCACTGTCAGACAAAGAAGGCATAAAGATGACTTAAGTCCAACGAAAAAGAAGCCTATATATAACAACACTAGTTTATGAGTGAATGGGGTAGGTCTTTTTGTGGCACTTTTTCAGGGACATTTTGAGGGAAAAGCATTGAAGTAACAAGAATTGCCATTTACCTGCTGCCATTTCTGTTGCAGATAGGTGTCTCTCACAGAGTACAGATACTTATTCATCTGGTCAAGAACTCCCTGGTAGTAGACCATCGCAGAGTCATAGTTTCCCAGTAAGGCATATTCACGGGCCAGCTTCACATTCTCAATTATCATAACAAGGCTCATGTTCAACATGAAGCTGAAAAAAAACCAGGAAATATTAAGGAAGCAAAAAACCAACCGAGGATTGAAACAATTTTTTGCAAGTATTTTCATATGCTTATCACCTCATTTGGCATAACAAAACACAGAAGCTGAGAAAACACTGGTTACAAAAAAAGGTCTACAATGAATGTCATACATATAAGAAGCAAATTTATGTTCTGTTAGTAGCAATCAAGCTTTTCACTTCACAGCTTTGTTTCGTCATGGAGATTCTGTCAAAAAGCCCATGTAAGATATGCAGATTTAAATGCATTATTACAAGTCACAGTTGCATACTCTCCTTACCTCTTTATTCTACTGTAAGATAAATTAGTATTTTACCGTGCCTGGCCTGTCTTGTGTGGTTTAAAAAAAACACCAAACAAGCAATAAATCAAAGCCCTTCCTCCTAATGCATTATGTTTCGTTAATTTTTTTTCACCTTTACATTACGTGCACGTTGAGTTTTAATAGTCTGATTTTGCCTTGTGGAAAACACTATTTTTCCATTAGCTTGCTTTTACAATTCTTCAATTTTATTTTTCTTTGAAACAAATATCTATCTTCCATACCCAGCCTGCACCCTCCTATCACCTTCATTCTTACACCTACAAAGAAACCCCTGAAAAACATCAAGGCTGCTTAAGTTATCACTGAAAGGTAAGCAAAAGCCACAATTAAATATTTAGTGTGCAACCACCCATTTTATTTAACACATTGTTCAAACCATGCTGGTTTTCCCTGTCAGTGGTGCTTGTTTGTGTTTTTTTTGGAGCGAACATCATAGACTGTGATGACTTCCACTTTACAGCCCTAACAGAATCTGCACTTTTAAATCAGAATAGTACAGAAGTATTATTTATGCAAGCACAGTAGAAGCAGAAGCAGTAGAAGTAGACTCACTCTTTACAGTGCCATTGTCCATGGAGCAGTTGTCCCACATTATTGTCAGGGTCTTATACAGCCCAGCCCCTTCTTCTCTAAGACACTTGTGCTGTCTCCCCTTTCTTGTCTCTTACACACCAAGAATTTCCCCACTCTCCTCATAATTTCCTAACCACAGAAAACATTAAAATCAGCAAAAAAAACACGCCTGCAAGAGAGTCATCCTGTTCTCATTTTGGTACCTGTACCCAGTGCCAGGAAGAAGCAACTGCAGACAAGCAACTCCAGCTAAGCCCTGGGATGAAGCATACTTGATACAGATCAACTATTTAAAGAATGTAAGAGGCACTAAATTCACATGCGCAATGAACAGACTTAGGGCTGAATATATTTCAGGACCAGGTCAGGGTCGAGCTTAGACACATTATCAGAGGTTTCAGAAGCCACTCTTTGCACACACCTGCCAACCTATAGCTAAAATGTGAGCTTTCCATTGTAAAGAAGGCCTGGTAAGTACAAATCAAACATTTTAGGGCTTTCACTCCTTTTTCTGTCCCCTTCCCAAGTAGTTCCACACACAGAAACACAGCTCAGGCATTCCTGAGCCAGCATCCTCTTCTTTATTTGCTTCCTTCTTCCTTCCCCAGCTTCCATTAGAGCAAATAGCTGCTGTCAAGATTTTCAGTCCAGAAGAGCACAACTCTGGCAGCAGCAGAGCTGAAGACAGGTCTCTGAGAGCCCACAGCCATCCCTGCAGAGGGGACCTGTGGGCGAGCAGGGAACCTGCTATCACAGAACCTACACGGTGTAATCTCGCTCCAGCCAGACACTCGCCCAGCTGGCCAGGATGTCTACAAGCTGATACAGTTAATGTCACCACCAACTACAAAGATTAACATATCCCAAGCTAATTAGGCTTTGGAGACACAGTTTGGCTTGGGAGTTTTGGTGGTTTTAACCTCAGGAGAAAGGGCCTGGAGATGTTTGTCAAACTGCTGTTAACATCACACAGATGTTAAGAGTTTTCCCTGCTGTATTTAGGAGCGAGCTTTTCCACTCCTGCTCATCCTACCAGATACACCTGTTTGCCTGTCCTGAGAATTCAAACTGATGACTAACACTGCTGAAATCACAAGTTGAGCAAGATGCTAATAGACACGTTAAAAATCAAGTAATAGCAAGTTACTAAAACCAAACTGGACTTTTAAATACAGAAGGAAGTTAGAGGTAACTTTTTTTCACTGAATGCTGTAGAGCAATCCAAGTAGAAGAGTAACTTTATGTATACAGAAAAAAGAAAAAAAAAGTTATGAGAATAGTTTTCATCTGGAAATGTGAAAATAACTAGAATTAGAAAAAAAATAAACAACAACAAAACTAAAGAGGCTAAGTCAGAAACATATGGAAGTTTGGGACCAAAAGGATAGCACTGCACATAATTAAATAGTCAAGGACATTTTCAGGTTAGAAAGAGCAGAGAATGTAAGGACAGAAACAGAAACAGACATGTAAGCAGACTAAGCTAGCACCTCGTGGGAAGAAAAAAAAGAAAAAATAAGGCGCTCACTCAAGGTTATAATGCTATTGGAATCTACCTGTGTCATTAGTGCTATTGAAAATGCAAGATAATTTGGTTTAAACTAGAAAACTAATTTAATTTGTTGCTTCATCTTGACTCATGAGAGCAAAAGAGCTTGAAGTGGCTTCCAAATACAAGGCTCTTGAGTACAAGAGAGGCAGAAAAAGCTGCTGGCTCTGCTTATGTCTGGACATGCCACTGCTGCTGCCACAACTTCAGGCAGTGTCAGAGCCGATCCACTAATGAGAGTCCATGGGTCTGCTGCACTTGTAAGTGAAGATGGTAAAGCAGCTCTAAGGAGGAAAAAGAAGAGTTAGAGTACTAATCTGAAAGTAGACTGAAGTTTGTGGCAGAAGGTGACAATACACTGGGGCAGCTCAGCAGGGTGGAGAACATGGGAGAGGCATGACTACACATGAATCCAGAGTTAAACCAGAACTGAAGGGATTAAAACTCTCACAAAACTAATCCTGCACTACTTAATAGTTTTTAAAGTATTTACAAATACTTAGCAATATCACAGGTGTTTACAAATACTTGGTGCTATCACGTAACAGGATGTCAAAGCAGCAGGTCTGCGCTTATCAGCCACAACCTTTCCATGAATCATGACCAGTGAAGTTATCTATGTTCCAGCAGCCACTGAAACACTGAAGAGCTCATAAAGTTCGCAGTGAGCAGGATATAAGGAAAATAACCTAAGCACTTCGTCTTGCAAGTTTAATTCTTCACTGTATACAAACACACAGACTTCACACAAAGAATAATCACTCTTCACACCAGCTGTGGGTATATAAGGTTCCCTGAAATTAACCCACCTCTAGTTACAAAATACATTTTATCATTTGCTCCAAGGACCTAAAATATTTCTGGAGTATAGAACAGCCAAGTTCAGCAAGGGTTGAACCTAACAAAAGTTCAATATCCCTACAGCTTGTGAGAATGAGGTTTTGAAACTTATTTTTGTATTTCATTTGAAAGATACCAGCCTAACCATTATCAAGAAAACGCAGAGGATACTTCATATTTTCCATAATAACTTCAAGAAACCATCAGTGGAAGTGACGGTAAGTTATTTCTGCTCACAGTCATACAATAGAATCCAGGAACACTGCATCAATCCTGTAACACAAAGAAGTCCCCCAAACTTTAAAAAATAAAAGAAGAGATTGATAGATAGTGTGTCAATTACCGTGGTGGACCTGCTGACTGGAAGGCACAAACCATACATGGAAAATACTTTCAAGGAGTTCCTCACTCCAACCTTAATGTCTGGACTAAGCCAGAGCCTGAATTTTGGCAGAGCGTGCATGTTTCCATTATTTCAGCCTGCTATACAGGCTCTGACATCAAAGCAACCCTGTAATATTTGCAAAGTTCTCTTGGCAAGCCAGATGAGAAAAGAACACCCCAAAGTAACAGCTTTCAGGAATCAGTCTTGGCTGATGACACGATGGTCTGCACCCTTCCACCTTTAATACTCTTCTTCATAACATCCATGGCATGCAACATTTGGTATCAACAAGTGACTGTGTTCATTACTTGGGAAGGAGAGCTGCCAGGCTTACTGGATATTAAACAAAATGGTTCTCACGCAGTTGCCGTATTTAACAGTAACAGTTAGCAGAAGAAAAACCACCAGCAGCCACAAACATAAGCATGGCTGGAAAATAAAAAACATTACAAAAATCAATCACTAGGTAGAGATACACTGGTGGATTGTGATTTTATGTTTTCCAGGCTAAGCCTTTCAGAAGGCTTTACAAAGCAGGCTACTTTCTCCCCACTTCATGAGGGCTGCCATTCTTTTTAACGATCAATGTTAAATTAACAAATTTCTCTGGCAGTTTAGAGAGGTCCGCGGCTGCACAGACATCTGAAATCGCTGCCTGCAGCTTCTCTCTCTCTGGAGAGAAAACTTGCATCATCGCACATTACCGCACGTTAACAAAAAACCCCCAAACAACAAAGCAGGTGGAGGGTGAAGGGAGACTGGTGAAGCAGAGCTCCGTGCCTGGGCCAGTGCCAGCGGCCGCAGGAGCCCACCCGGGCGGGTTGCTGGCCCTCAGCGCCGGCCGCACACCTGCGGGCAGCGGCAGCCCCCGACGGCGATGCCCCGTGCGGCACCGAGCACGTGTGAGCCACAGCTCTGACATAATGAGCTGCGGCGACAGCAACCTCCGTGGCCCCTCGCTCTCCGGCCGCGGGGCAGAGCAGCCGGAGCCCGCCCGTGCCCGGGAGCCCTCAGGGTGGCCCCGCCACGCGGGGCGCGACCGTCGCCCCTCGTCAAGGGCCCGCCCGTCCCTGCGACCCGGGCCGGACCCCGCGGCCCCTTCTCGCTCACTTACTCCTCTCCGGAGCTCGCACCCGCGGCGGCGGCAGCAGCTCACGGCGGTACCAGCCACGACCCCTCCACTTCTTCCGCCCCCTTCCTCCCGCAGCGGCGTTGGCTCCGCCCCGGCCCTGCCCGCCGCCTCCTCCCGCCGCCGCCGCCGGCAATTTTTGAAGGCAAATCCGGCTGCGTCACTTCCAGCCTGGTGGGACGGGGGAGAAGGTCCGCGCAGCCGGACCGACAAGGAGTTGGTGTCTGTTTGAGCGTTATTACTAAAAGCTAAGAGCTGGTTTGGTTCTAAATGTTAAAAGAGCAGCGGAAAAATACAATTTAAAAAGACAGCGAGAAAAGAGCAACTGCATTGGCCGGGAATCGAACCCGGGCCTCCCGCGTGGCAGGCGAGAATTCTACCACTGAACCACCAATGCTTGCACAGGGAGGTTGGTTTGCGTTCATAACTCGAAGGTGACAAACACGAACTCTCCTACACCTAAGATCTCGCCCGGATGGTCGAGGGCGTTCCTTTGGCTATTTTCCTTCCGTAACTCACAAATGTGAGTTTTGCCGAGTGAATGGCAAGCACCCACTTTTATCTGCGTGTTCTTTGCTTGTGACTTGTCTGCACCTCTTCAAGCTTTCATAGATGGTGTTATTTTGGGGAAGAAAACACATCTGAGAGTGCTGAGGAAAACCTGCTGCCGAGCGAAGTCAGACCAGGAAATTGCCCTTAGGTGTCCCTGATGGAGCAGTACATCGCCACCTGTCTAAATAGACTCAGCTGCTTAGCAACAAATAGGATCTAAAGGTTGGGCACAATGCAGGAGGTTTATGACAGTCCTTCAGGGTGAACTCCAAACCCCCACAGCAGTATGTCATCCTTTAACTACGTGTGTCACATCCATTCTTACTCGTCTTGTTATTCTATTTCTACCCATTCATAAACTGTCAGTTTTAGTCTATCCCTTTAACAAATGCCTATGTTTAAAACAACCATTCCTACATTACTTCA